GGAATGTAAGAGCAGACGGTGTTGATAGTTGAATTTTCAACAATGCTGCAACTTTGTGCGGAGCAGGAGGGGAAGAAAACACTATCAGCAGCACCAGAAAGGAGGAAGACAGAGTGTGGGAACACAGGACCTACACTTTCAACACTTTTATTAGACCTGGGTCCAGTGGACCCCAACACCTTGTATGTAATGTAAATGCGTGGGGGGAGGTACAGTATGAGGTCATTGAAAATGAGTTTATGTTCTTCACAGAAAATAAGCCAAAGCCAATGAATTTCAAGTGGAAAAAATAATTGTTTAATTTTTCTTTAGAAAAAAACTGAAAACAGGTCTCACAGACCCGAACACCATACAAGGGTTAAAAAGTATTAAAGTAAAGCAGTTTCTGTTCTTTCATCTCAGAAACCAAGAAGCCACTCAGCTGTTTGGACCCATGCTTTACATTACTGCCATCTTGTGGTTGCAGTTGGCTGTTGTTGCTGGAAGGTCCACATACCGTTGAACTCATTAGAAACTGTAGTGTGCCTCTATTTCACAGCTGTGTTTGCCATGTGCGAGTAAAAGAGATGGACATCAGAGGGACGGCTCAGGCTGGGTGATTTGGAGATAAAGTTAAGAGCCTTGGCTGAGATTGTACACGTTCAGAGAAGGTACAGTGGATATATTGGACAAAGAATGATGGATATGGAGCTGACAGGCAGGAGGAAAAGAGGAACATTTTGGATGACGTTGTTGAATGTAGTAAAGAAAGACATGCAGTAGAGTTGGTGTGACAGATACTGGGGTGACATGGAGACGGATGATCTGCTGTGGCTACACCTACAACCTGAATAACAGAAAAGTTGAGATGTTTTTATTTTAACAAAATGAAAAATAAAAGACTTTCAAATAACATCAGAACATAAATAACATGACAAATGTTTAAACTGAGAAATTTTACAATTTCACGCCCAAAATGAGCTCATATCAAATGTGATGCTTGCTACAAGTCTCTGAATAGTTGCTAAACGGGCATGTTTACCACGGTGTAGCTCCTCCTTTTCTTTTCAAAACAGTTTGAAGACATCTGGGTATCGAGGTTACAAGTATCTGGAGTTTTTGTCTTGATGCATCCTCAATCATCCAGGAAAATAAATCTCCAAAGGTTGATTCTGTTCATCTGGACGTAGCGTTATGTGGGAGAAACGTTTCGTCATCATCCAAGTGACTTCTTCAGTCTCAGCTGACTGCAGGTTTCCCCAGTCTTATAAACACAACATTAGTTTACACTGTACTGTCAACCTCTGGAGATATCTGGAGTTTTGGTGTTGGGATTTGGCCCCATTCATGCCTGATATAGGTATCAAGCTGCTGAAGAGTTTAACATGTCTTTAGCATGTTTTTCATTTAATGATGCACCAAATGTTCTCTATAGGTGAAACATCTGGACTCCAGGCAGGCCAATTCAGCTCCTGCACTCTTCTCCAGCTGTTGTAATAGCTGTAGTTTCACCTCTGATCTGAGAAGCTTCTTCAGTTCTAAGATCAATACATGGAGATTTTAAGCCCTAAGAGGGTCGTTGACCCACTATTGAGCATGTGCCTCATCACATGAGCCAAGGTGTAAAAACGGGCGTGAGTCACTATCAGCAGAGGTTTCGGGGGAAACCATTGAGAGACCTTGCCTCATCCTGTCATGTGACTTATTGAGATTGACTGACAAGAGATGTGAGTGGGCGTTAAGGCGTCTGGGAAGGGATCTCAAAACTGGCTTATAGATGGCAGACAGTTGGTGTCATAAGCCCCGCCCTCTGCTCAAACCATCTGTCCAAAATGTGAACATTGGCATCCTCGAAAGAGTGACCTGTTTGTAAGTCAACACTGATCTAGGAATCACTGAAGTACAAAAAAGGCTCCTAACTGAAGAGACGAACCAGTGTTTTGTCTCCACATCACAGACAAGTTTGTGATGTGGAGACAAACTTGTCTGTGATCACAAGTTTGTCTGTGATGTTTCAACACTTTGTTACAAGCAGCTTGTCACAAAAACACAGAACATGTTTGAATCTATGAAAAGTGCCAATGAAAACATTTTGACAGGAATAAAAACGTATTTTGAACCATTAAGGTGACTCTCGAAGAGCTTTCAGGGGGAAACGTGAAATATAGACTTGCGCAGCACTCTGCACACCTCCTCTTTCATTCCACACTTCTCTCACAGCAACAAGTTCAGCTCACGATCCAACAAACCGTTAGAAACAGTGCGTCCATGATCGATCGGCAGACTGATCAGGAGAAGTAGTGATTGATCGCATGCATCACAGATAAAACTGACATGAGGTGAGTGTCTGTGTTTCGTAATTATTTTGGTGACACTTCACAGACGAAGCTGGATCCAGTTTTCTGGTCACTTTAAACAAAAACTGAGCGTCAGCTTTAAAGAACTACACACTGAGTTTTATTACGGATGAAATTCAGATCATTTGAGGAGGAATTAGAAGCAGCTCATCAGCTGATTCTGTATTTATTGATTTATTCATTAAGCAAAGACAGTCAGTGGATTTTCATTCAGACTGGTTTCAGCTGGAAAATGTCACCAAATATTTAAGTTGAAATTTTTCATAGTTTCATTTCAGACTGATGACGTAACGGCGATTCCTCTGTTACAGATTCTGTGGTCACAACAAAGCAGAGCAGCAGAGGACAGCAAAGTGTGTTTGAGTCCAGCTTCATGAGCATTTAATGTGCTGGTCACAAAAAGTTCCAGTGTTATAAAGTTACTGCTGTTGTGTTGTGCTGCTTCCTCACCTGTCTGAGGTGGTCAGTTGCTGCATTCACAGGATGCAGCGTTTAAGCAACATCTGAATTTCAAACACAGTCTCTGATCTCTGGCTGAAGTTTCTTCCTCCCACCTGAGCTCACCACAGTGTGAAGGTCAGGTCAGGTCTAGATTGTTGCTCTTTAAAGGTCAAACTATAAAGGTAAAATAATTATAGCAGACACCTGCTCGTTCTTCTGTAGTTCACAAAAGTCTCTTTTTTCTTCCTTCCAGCTGAATGTGTGTGATGATTTCAGCAGTGATATTATGGCCAGTGCAGCAGCTGGTGAGTCTTTATTACTCTGATACATCCTCTCTCAGTGGGCACACATCACTCAGATGTTCAGGCCTTCAAACCCAATCTGAGGCTCTACTGGAAAAGAAAAAAGCAGAGTCAGGTCGGATTATAGCAGTTTATTTTTCATATAACATTATAATACAACATGTCACATCACCTGTAATTTTAATGACCTCAAATTACTCACCAGCACTTCCATCAGCATGAAGGAGTAAGAATTTAAATTGTTACAGGCATGAAGACACTGTAGGTTTTTATCAAGTAATCAGGTATTAAGAGTATTTTAGAAGAAATGAGACACAAAGCACAGTGTAGGTCATTTTAAATAGTTGGTTACAGTACACATCAAACTGAGATAAGAGCCGTTTTTTCTTTGTTGTTACCTGGAAAAATGAAGTCTGTGAAACATCATCGGCTGAATGATGCGCACGTTTGCAAAGTACATGTCTCACTGCTGTGCACAAAAATACATCAGCTTCAGAAAAACCTGTGAAACAAGTTTTGACTCAAGTGAAATTCTTGTCCATTCAGTCATTGTGATATCAAATCCCAAAGAGGAGGGCTCATCTGAGGACTACACCAAGCGTCCACCCTTAGAAGCTGTGGTCAGACTGTGCAGAGACAGATCCTCGTGGAAGATGAAACTTGATCACGCAGAGAAGTTAAAGCACTCGTGTCAGATTGTAAAGGAGAACAATGGAGAACATGTGAGCTGTGACAGATTTGAGACTGAGGATCCTGCTTTAACCAAGACGTCGGAACAATTCAAAGTTTCTGATGAAAGTCGTCTTCAACCCTTTAAATTGAACATGAACACTAAGACACTGGAGAACTCATGGATGTATTAGGTCTTTTTGAGTAAGTGAACTGAGCTGAATCTGCCGCAGTCATGCAGACGGCCCTCGTTTTACTTCATTGAAACACTTTATAAAAATCTGAATAATTCAGGTTTAATAAAGAGAACCAGAGGAATACATTTCTCACTTGATGTAGAAGAGACGGTTATCATTATTACATCATTACAAAAATGACGAGTGGAAGCAGTGAAAGTGGAACTGATGTGCTTTGTTGTTTTGCAGGAAAGTTTCAGAAAGATCCTGCAACAAAAGTCAAAATTCGTGGCGAGAAATCGTTTTTGTCTTCCTTCCCCTGAAAGTTTCTCCTGTTTTCCAGAAACCTGAATGAAAACAATTTGTTGTTGTAGTGTTACTAAAGTAGTACTTTTACAAAATCTGTCAGCTGCAGATTTTTCTTTTTATAAGTTTTATATTCAGATAAATTATCTGACATCATTACATTTCTGATGAATCTTGTATTTTTTCAAAGACTTCAGAGAAATTCAAATTAAGCAAACAGCTGATTGACCCGTTTCACATGTCATCAGCTCATACAGCTGCTCTCTGTGGGGCTGATTACTGCTAATTAAAACGATTGAACGAACTGGTTGATGACACTATTCTGTCAATTCTGACTGAAAGTGTCAGTATGAGTATATACACATGAGGAAAAGACTAATATCTAATATCACTTGTTTGAAAATAGACCTCAAAGTGAGTTTTGTCCATATTCTGCATGAATCAAAGAAAGTTTGAAAGTTTCCCTTTAATTTTTGCTCGATGACACAATGACAGCGCAGTCAATGCATCTCACCACGAAACTGTTTTTTTTTGTATAGTTTCAGTCATTATGCAAACGTCCTGGTTATAAGACCTGACCTGCAGTCAGCTGAGACTGAAGATGAGTGACGAAGTTTTTTTCCTTCAAAAAATGTCCAGATGAACAGAATCAACTTTTGGGGAAATTTTTTTTATTATTTGTTTGTTATAAAATGTAAGAATTACAATAAACTCTGTGAAGATGCAGTATTTATATACTGTGGGCCAGTGGATGAAGTGATGTAAGGAAGCACGTCATGATTAAAAGCACTGTGGAGTAATCTAATCGTAGCTCTGGCATTGCAGCAGTTACAGAGGAACCACATTTATCTTCCACTTACTGTATTTTAAAATAAAGTCAGAGGTTTCCTGGTGATTCTTCTGCCCATCTCTTTGTGGACACTAACGTAGGCGTGTGGATTCAGCGATCAGAACTGTGTGATTTTATGGTAATGACAGGAATGTTTTAGCGTCTCACACAAAGTTTGCTTTAGGCCTACCAAAGTCGTCCCAGGCCTGCAGTAACTGTAGCAAGATCAGTAACAGCATGAATAACTGTAGCAGCATTAGTAACAGCATTAGTAACTGTATCAGTAACTGTATCAGTAACTGTATCAGTAACTGTATCCCACGCTCTGGCAAAGTCTTCCACTCCTTGAGGCACCTGCAGGGAGAAAACATCACAGGAAGTGAGCAGACATCCTGATGAACAGAAGACTGCCATGATTCAAAACTCCATTCAGACCTAGTTTCTTATCAGATAGAGAAATAAAATGAGTGTAAAAGCAAAATTCCTCCGCCTGGGCTGCCGTGCACCTCTGCATGTCTGCTTCAACGTGTGACCCCGCCCCTCCCCGGACAGTCGAGGATGAGTGCACTAACAGCCTGCAGGCTGACGTTTTAATGAGTGTTTGATGGAAAATGACAATGGCAGAGTTTGTGCTCTCTCGTCCAGTCAGTGCCGTTCTTCACGCCTGTCTCATCAGCACAAACACTTTAAAGGGGACAATCTAGGCCTTCAGCAATAATACAGACGGCAATGTATTTAAAAATCTGACCTTTAAGATCTTAACTTAAAAAAAACAAACAAACATCTGTCACATAGGAAAGAAGCATCAATATCTGATGAGCAGACGTATTAACTTGGCCTTAATGTGTTTTATTTGGTGGAGTTTGGTGCAGTTTTCTTGTTTTGTGGGGTTTTTCAACAGAGATGGGGAACTCTAACATGTTGTTTTGTTCACGTTTGTACATCTTAATTTTGAAGTGAAATGTGCTTTATACACTACATGCATATAAAGCACCCTTTTCCTTTGTGTGATGCATTTTTCTCTGTTTTTACAAAAAGGGAACAAAGGTGTTTAACTCAACCTTGGATGATCTTGTTCTTGCTGAGGTGATGTGAAGTGAAACATGCATTCTTTTTTGGTAATGTGCTGGAAAAGCTTGAAAGCTTGAGCTTTTTTTATACATGCATATCTGATTAAATGAGGTTTTTGTAATGAGTTTTTGATCCAATTTTCAAAACACTTTAAATGTGACCTGTTCATTTAAAAACTCCTCTTTAACAGGAAGAAACCTCCAACAGAACCAGGCTGAGGGAGGGGCGGGGCCATCTGCCACCACGAGGGGAGTAGGAGACACAACATCCACATGAAGATCTCCTGTTTACATGTACAGTGCTGAATATGTTTTAAAGCTAAAGTTTAGTCAGTAGGAGATAGATGATGCCTTTACATTATGTTTCTGCAAATCATTCTCTGTTAATCTGAATCCAAAACCTGCTGAAATGGGATTCATCGGTAGAATAAACGTTAATAATAATAATAATAAAATTCAAATAAAGGGTCAAACAGGAAATGAGCTTCCAGCAGCACAGATCTTGTTCTTTGCAAACAGATTCTGTATTTTCTGTCTACATGGTTCCGCCCACCTGCTGCGACGCAGACACACCATATCGTTGCTCTGTGGCAAAGTGCTCACAGTTCCTCCTGATGCTGTGGTACGTTATCTCTCTGCCCACCCAGCTCCTGGCCTCTTTAACAATGACGTCAGCTGGGCGGGGATTATGGGTGGAGTCCAGGCTGTTGTTGATCTGCCACTGGTCATTTCCCACCACAGCCCTCAGATTCTCCTCCCTCACAACCCCCCTCTGAGTTATGACAGCGATGCTGTTGAAACCTGCAAACACATGAAGGATAAACTGGGATCAGAAGTAAAGGCTTCATGATTTCATCCTTTATGCTATGAATCAGTTTCATGTGTGATGTCATTTAAGCTTCTGCTTCCAGACTGGGAGGAGTTAAGCTGTGGGGGGTGTTGTGACAGGTGTGTGCGGGACTTACTGGGCACGACCAAGTGAACAACAGAGCCATCACCAACGTACACAGCCCAGTGCTGATAGCTGCCACGGAAGATCTCTATCAAGTCCCCGCGCTGTGGCCTCCGCCCACTCTGTGATTTACAGACAGAGAACATGTTTGAAGCTGACTGCGCTCAGTGACTGCAGCACATTGATGAGAGACTTCAAATTAAACAAATCAATCAAAGCACAGCCACAGACAACAGAAGCAAACGGTTTTCTTACCATGTCAGTGGGTTCTTCGTCCACAGACCTCGAGCTGCTTTGATCTTCAGAACCTGCAGGAAAAGATCATTTTATAAACCAAATCCATCCACAGACAGTATCAACCTAATAACACACACAGTGTTAACACGATCAATCTCCTCTGAGTATTTACAGTCAGTGATGATGTTTGGGGTTACTGCCCTCACATGTGGGTGAAATCACTGAGACATAATATGTCAGCACTGACTTGGCTGAAGGTTAATCGAGCATCCTTAAAAGACTGACTAATTTAAAGTGGAAAAAAATATTGATATATAACATTTTTAGAGCACTTTTTGGGGCGGGACCATTTTTGGTCCCGAGGGTCATGAAAGGATGGATTTTATAAATGTGCTCCTGCACAAAAAAATAATAATGATCAAAATGAATGTTTGTGCCAATCTTTGGCTCATCTAAAGGCCTAATTATAATAACAATCAAATATTACTTCAAATGTATTTTATGGAAAATATTTAAGTTTTTATGTTTTTTTTCTGTAAAAAACAGGCGCTCATGTACCCAAACTGGTATTTAAAGGGTTAAAACAATGAAAATATAATTAAAACTTAATATGGATATTTTAAGCAGAAGTAGTTTTAAAAGACTGACTAATTTAAAGTGGAAAAAAATATTGATATATAACATTTTTAAAGCACTTTTTGGGGCGGGACCATTTTAGGTCCCGAGGGTCGCGAAAGGGTGGGATTTTGAAGTTTTACAGAGGTTAAAAATGATGATGATAATGAAACAGCAGTCTTGGTATATGTCTGGCATCTTTCTTCAGAGCTTTAATGTTCACCTTCTGTTAAAACTGAATCAAACAGGTGTTTCTGGTATTTAGCTTTATCACTGATATGTGGACATCAAAGATCAGTGTTAGCAGAATATTTTAACTCAAAATTAAACATTTTGAATTTGTGGTGCACTTTACATGCAGTATAAAAGATGGATGTAGCCACTGATGTCACTCGTTGGCTCTTGTTTTGAAGCCTGGAGTGTTTTTACTGTATCATCTGTGTGTTTCATAACCAGGTATGAAGAACATGGATCTGACTGTGAACCTGACTTTTGATGGCTTGTAGTCAAACAACAGCTACCTGTTTTTTTATCCATTACAACCCTCTAAAATTATTATAATTTACAAAAACCTCATAAACCCGTCACAAATGTGTTTCTTGAAGTCAGCATCAAAGGAGCTGAGGCCCTTTTCTCCTACACTTTAATGCAACTGTAAGTCTTAACACAACGTGATGTGTCACGATATTTCTACAGTGGCTTCACTTTTTACACAGAAAGCTAAAATCAGCCTTTCAAGGCTGTTATAAATATTTAACATCCTTTATTAAAAAACATAATGACACCCTCATAGATGAAGAAGACATTGGCATCTCTTATTTTGAAAATCTGCTTCATGTTTTAGCAATCTGCCATTTGACTGGACCGTTTGACTGTGTTTGTAATCGGACTGTGACTGACCAATAAGAATCAGTCATGGGTCAGAGCTCCTCCCCTCTGCACCCAGCAGAGTTTCAGGGTTAAAGTGTGAAGGACTCACGAGATGCTGATGTCGATGTTGATGCTGTGCTTCCCATCACCAACTGAACTTGAGCAACGTGAACTGCAGATGAGAGGAGCTGCTGGGCTTTCTGGAAGAATTAAAATTCAGTTACACAAACACAAACTTTATTAATGACTCTGTTTATCTTCACAGCAGGATTTTATGACCAATGAAGCTGAATTTACATTTCAGGAAAGGTTAAACTGTGAATGTCCTCAGACTTATATAAGAAACCTCTGCAATGTTAAATTAGGTGAGTCAGTAAATTATGTGACGTCAACAGTGACATAAGATAAGAAATGACATCTTTACAGTGCTTTTTACTTTAAACACCAATGAAGGTAAAGATCAAAGCTGACGGGTTAAAATAAACCAGAATAAATTATTTAAATAAAACTAAACTCATCTTTAGAGAAATATCCTTAGTTAGTCAAAGGAGCTTGCAAAGAAAAGCGTCTGGACTTCTTTAAGTTGCTTGAAGACGTTTCACCTCTCATCCGAGAAGCTTCTTCAGTTC